CCAGCTTGAACTCTCTCTGATCCTGGTCTTTGAGGCATACAGAGCTTACCACCAGGTTTTTGTTCACCCCGGGATTTAGGATGAAACTGCTCTTCACTCTACTCTTTCTTCCCTGATCTCTAGGTTGCTTCCTAGATGGCCGGGCCTAGTGTAGCTTCCTAATGTAGTCCTGCCTTCTCGCATCTTAATCTTTTCCTTCTCCACTCACTTTGCCCCTCTTATCATTCCACAGACTTCTCCTTCTTAGGTCTGTGCATGTCTGGATCCTCTCCCTGCATTTCAAATGCGGTTCACACATTCTTGCCCAAGCCTGTGCTCAATGCCACCATTACCGTGTGTTTATTCTAGGTCTCTCCTTTCTCTCTCTGTCAGTCACTCTGTCTCTCTCTCTCTTTTCTCTATCTCCCTCGGTGTGTATATGTGTGTTTTGCTCTGACTCTATCATTTCTCTGTCTCATAAGCATATTTAACACAAAACCCCTAATACTTGTCAATAGCAAGAAAGGGGCATTTATAACTCAAACACATCAGGCAGATTATCACTCAGAATTTCATTAATGGCTGCAAATATAGTGCAATAGTGTTACTTGATGCCTAGAGAAGGCGGGGAATAAAATACGGAAAGAGAAAGATACCCCAAATCAAGCAAGGCATCAATGTTCTACTTTAAAAATTTGCCTCAGAGCTCACCTAGACAGAGTGATATGTTTCTCTATGTCCAGGGTATGATTGCTAGATGATAAGCTCAAAAAAAAAAAAAAAAAAAAAAGGCATTTCTGCCTTCAGACTTTCTTTACCAGAATTAGATTTTGATCTGAGTTATCTGGTTAAATGTTATATGTCTGTGACTCCACATAATTCACTGTAGGAGACATGTATTGCAGATTTAAAATACCACAAACTTAGTGGATTCAAACACACATTTATTACTTCAGTTTCTGCGAGACCAGCGTCTGGACATGGCTTAGCAGGGTCTCTGCATAGGATCTGGAGACATTATCTGGAGGCTCCACAGAACTCTGCTCCCAAGCTCCCTCGGGCTGTATTTCTTTTCTTTTCTGTCTCATGACCACCTCGTGAGGCTATTTACTGATGAGTCCCAGCCTGTGCACAGCTCAGCATCCCTCCATCTCCCCAAAGCTACAGTTACTGGATCCCTTCCAGCAGGTGCAGTCATGCTTCTCCCAATTGCCTGAACCAAAACTAACCAAAGGCAGGAATCACTAATACAGCCACTGCACCTCTTTCTGAGAATCCTCCCCAATTCACCACTGATGTGCAAGTTCAAGTTTGTCAATAGTCCTTGGTTTCACATTGGGTAACTTGTTTTGTTTCAGTTTCTTAATAGATTTTTGTTCTGATACTAGACCAGCCTATGACCAAACTTTAGCTGGTGGTTTTCTCCCCCACATTATTCTCCCTTGCAGCTCTGTCATTTCTTTAATAACACCTTTATAATTATATATTTATTTGTGTTCCCTTTGTTTGATGTCTGCTCTTCCTAGACAAAATTTAATGAGGTAGCGTTAAATGTGTTTCCCTCACTGTCCTACACCTTGCACCCAAGACAGTGCCTGTCATTTAAGTGAATGGATAAAAGAATGAACAAGTTTCTACATCATATCTGGTATGGCGTAAAGCATAAAACTTAGTGGTGACAAACCTGTCGTACAATTAGCATCTGCACACAAACTCTTATCACCAGGAACTGCCAAGTACAAAATGGTAACAAATAACATGGGAATATTTTAATGAGACAGCGAGGATATGAGACATTTTGTCTCCAGGGCATCCAGAGAGCTCCACGAAAGAAACTTTTGGATTAAAAAAGAGGTGGCTAAATTCCAAGCTATTTCGGTTTTCTCATCTGTAAAGATGGCCTGGACTACATGATTTGTGAAGTTTCTAAAATCAAATATTCTAGAATTCCATTTCTCTATTTTGTCCAGAATCAGTACTACGGGACAACTATTGACTAAGGTTTTTCCTCCTTAGATGTGTAAGGGATGCTTACAATATCTGGAAGGTAAAAATAAAGATCCTGTTGGTAGAGGGAAGGGGAAAGGGTATGTGATAGTGAGTGTGTGTTCCTACTACACTTACTAGCAGAACATCTGTTCAAGGATCAGTCCACAGTGTGGTTATTTTGTTGAAAATAAATTATTCTAGTCCTAACTGGTTTGGCTCAGTGGATAGAGCATCGACCTGTGGACTGAAGGGTCCCAGGTTCGATTCTGGTCAAGGACATGTACCTTGGTTGTAGGCACATCCCCAGTAGGGGGTGTGCAGGAGGCAGCTGATCAATGTTTCTCTCTCACTGATGTTTCTAACTCTCTATTCCTCGCCCTTCCTCTCTGTAAAAAATCAATTATATATATATATATATATATATATATATATATATATATATATATATAAATAAATTATTCTAGAAAGTAAAGAACAGACCCAAAATAAAAATCTTTATTACACAGTAAATAAAACATCCATGGAGATGTGCAAGTTCTCTGCGTATTGCACATGAGTACTTCTCACTTCCCTTTAATATAATCTAACAGCAAGTGAAGTGGTCCAGATAAATGCCCATGACATGTGAAGATGACTGCAAGGCTCATCTTCTTTGGTGTTGCACATGCAGAAAAAAACAATCATTCTGACTCATAATAAATTATGTGAAAAATTATTAGATTCATTAAGAATGGATCTGTCTTTTCCATATCTCACCTAACTTAACCAGTTGTTATTCTTCAATATGTGTGTCACCATCCTGACATTGGGTCAAACTCAAACTTTGCTGATCTACTGAAGAAATAGAAAAATCCTGTAAATATAAATGAGTAAGATAATGAGGAGTTCTTCAAATAAATCAATTTTGCAACACATAACTCAGAGTGAGTTAATAATAAATGGCATTTAAGTGGTTATTCTACCAGTGGTCGGCAAACTGTGGCTGGCAAACTGCGGCACGCGAGCCACATGCGGCTCTTTGGCCCCTTGAGTGTGGCTCTTCCACAAAATACCGACTTCTGCACATAGGCCATGAAGTTTCAATCGCACTGTACGTGCGTGCCCACACGTGATAGTTTGTGGTATTTTGTGGAAGAGCCACACTCAAGGAGCCAAAGAGCTGCATGTGGCTCGCGAGCCGCAGTTTGCCGACCACGGGTCTAAGCCAAGGACTGTGCTAAAAGCTTTGTATGTTTTATTTCACCTATAGTTATTCTAAAAGTGTAAGGTACTGCCAATGAGGAAAACCCTGAAAATTAGGGAAATATTGCAATTTTCCTAAGGTAACATCTCTAATGAAAGATGGAGGAAGTACTTCATCTCATCTGTCTGACTTCAAAGCCAGTGCTCTAAAACATGAAATTATACTACCTTCAAATAGATGATATTTTAAAAATTTAATCTATTCTCTTTCTTCCCAGTTCCTTCTTCCCCGAATAGGTCTTAAACCACAGTTTGGGAGGAGATTGGACCCAAGAGAATTAGGCCAATGATAAAATGCACTGGGGGTCCACGTCCTGCTGAGTAAACCTTAAGGTTATCTTAGTAACAAGACCATCAGCCTTATGAGAATTATGATTGTTAAGCCCTGGCCACTCTCTCCAAATTAATTAAGAAAAAGAACAAATTTTATTTTATTTTATTTTATTTTATTTTATTTTATTTTAATTTTTTGTACTTCTTTTTTTTTTATTGCTTAAAGTATTACAAAGAGTATTACATATGTCTCTTTTTTCCCCCCCTTGACATTCCCCTGGCTTCCCTTACCCCCCAGTGTCTTGTGTCCATTGGTTATGCTTATATGCATGCATACAAGTCCTTCGGTTGATCTCTTACCCCGCCTCCCACCGCCCCAACCCTCCCCGGCCTTCCCGCTGTAGTTTGACAGTCTGTTCATTGCTGCTCTGCCTCTGTATCTGTTTTTGTTCATCAGTTTATAATGGTCTTTATTATCCATAAATGAGTGAGATCATGTGGTATTTTTCTTTCATTGACTGGCTTATTTCACTTAGCATAATGCTCTCCAGTCCCGTCCATGCTGTTGCAAATGGTAAGAATTCCTTCTTTTTTACAGCAGCATAGTATTCCATTGTGTAGATGTACCACAGTTTTCTAATCCATTCATCTGCTGATGGGCACTTAGGCTATTTCCAGATCTTCGCTATGGTGAATTGTGCTGCTATGAACATAGGGATGCATATATCCTTTCTGATTGGTGTTTCTGGTTTCTTGGGATATATTCCTAGAAGTGGGATCACTGGGTCAAATGGGAGTTCCATTTTTAACTTTTTGAGGAAACTCCATACTGTCTTCCATAGTGGCTGCACCAGTCTGCATTCCCACCAGCAGTGCACAAGTGTTCCCTTTTCTCCGCATCCTCTCTAGCACTTGTCGTTTGTTGATTTGTTGATGATAGCCATTCTGACAGGTGTGAGATGGTACCTCATTGTTGTTTTGATTTGCATCTCTCAGATGATTAGTAACTTTGAGCATGTTTTCATATGTCTCTTGGCTTTCTGAATGTCCTCTTTTGAAAAGTGTCTATTTAGGTCCTTTGCCCATTTTTTGACTGGATTGTTTATCTTCCTTTTGTTAAGTTGTATGAGTTCCCTATAAATGTTGGAGATTAAACCCTTATCGGTGATAACATTGGCAAATATGTTCTCCCATGCAGTGGGCTTTCTTGTTGTTTTGAAATTTTATTTTCTTATCTGCCCATTACCAGGAATTAAACCTTGTCTATTTTGAGCATATGGGAGGGCTACTATTTATTTACAAATGAACTATTTAGTGCAGACAATTGTCAACTGCAACTGAAGGCCAGACTTGGCACCTTGAGATGCAATAGAAGAGAGTGAGAGAGAAGGATGACACACAGCCATTAGTAAACCTGGCTCTCACTGGTTGTATTATTATGCAAATGATAATGACTAAGCTGTTAGGAAGTGTCCTTTGATTTTACCTGCAGGTGTAAAACAAAGACTTGGAAACTGTTCAAGAAAAACAAATTTTAATCTAATCTGCATAAATTAGAAAGTCAAAGTTTTCAATAATTTGGCTTAAAAAGACATAAGACCGAATAGTTTGCAATAGTTTTGATTCTCCAAATCATTTTGATATAAAATGCCCCAACGTGTCCCCATTGGCAATGAAACGAGTGTCTTTGTACCAAATGCCTCTAATACAGCATCAACCTTCGGCTCATCTCCTGGAAAATCATCTGCTAACAGTCTGGGGAAGCCTTGCTCCATGGACTGGCTGTTTTCGTCAAATCTGTACTGAATGAAAGAAATACAGCTCAACATTGTGCAGAGGCCCCATTGCATGCAACAGTATGAAGTAATGTGAATGCTCCAGTGTGGAATCCTGGATAGTTCTCAACTGGTGGAAGGAAGTGTTAAACATTTTTATGGCTAAAAACGTATGTGACTTCCCTGGACTTTAAGCTTAGCACATAAATCAGAATTTTCTCAGGAACAAAGACATAATGATATTGTACAGAGGGTCCATATGTATGTCTGAGGTTGGTTTCCTAAGCCTAGACACACAGAGCCGAAGTGCCCTTCTGCTGGAAAGGCATGAAGACTGCATACACATAAGACACAAAGTGAATTAAATCATTTGATTAAAAATAAACGTTTTGTTCTCTATCACACTTGCCCCATAAACTTTGTCTTTACAGCCTGACACACATAAGCTTCCTATGGTGGCCATTGTCTAGACCTCCGTTAGTCTCTCCTGATGTCTTTTTAAAAAAGATTTTAAATTGATTTTGAGAGAGAGAGAGAGAGAGAGAGAGAGAGAGAGAGAGAGAGAGAGAAAGAGAGAATGAGAAATTCATGTGAGAACGAAACATCAATCAACTGCTTCCTGGGGATGGAGCCTGCAACCCCAGCATGTGCCCTGATGGGGAATCGAACTGGCAACCTTTCACTGCACAGGATGACACCCAACCAACTGAGCCACACTGGCCAAGGCTCTCCTGATGTTTTTTGGAGTCTGGATGTATGAGCCAGTAATCAGCTGTTGTGAGAGCCCTTTATTATATTTAAGAAGTTGGTTCCCTCATAATCAGAAAGTTTGAAGTTAGACAAAATTAGAGGGTAAGAGTGGTGAATATCCTTAAAGAAAGAAATAATTTTCTTAATTAATTAAGCTGCATACCAAGTCATTCCTACTGCGTCTTACCTCCAGTATTTGTTCTCTACAAAGAAGTATGTTTTCTTTTCCTTATCGGAAACAGCTGCATCCATTTTCCTTATGGTTGGAGAAAAACCCAGGGTGTGGATGCCTCTTGGATACCCTGCTTGCCCCTCATTTCCTCTGATGGCCCAGAACTGCTTTCCTATTGAAAAAAGAAACCCAAGAAATTCTGAGAGAATCCTTTTGGTTTTAGAAATGATTTTAGTGCATTATTATGAAAAAGAGGAAGTCTTGGTTTTAATTCTAACCACTAACCCAATGGCCAGTTCATAGCTGACACTTAATAAATATTCTCTGAATGAGTAAATGAATAAATGAGTGAACAAATAAATGGTCCACTGCCCTTTCTGGGTCTTACATTTATTATTTATAACTAACAGTGCCCTGTCCTAGTTATTTCTTATAGTTTCGGTGACTTCTCAATCTAAATTTCTCATCTAGTACTCTTTCTTAAGCTTTGCATCAATATATCAGTTCCTTTTGACTTCCTCTTGGACTTCTCATGGTCACCTGGTCCGGTCTGTGCTGCTTCTGAATACCTTGGGCATCCATACACATTTGAGTGAATCAGGACAATGCAATTCTATCAGTCTCTCTGCTTTTACTTTGTTATACTGCCCTTCCCATGCCAACCCCCAGCCCCTTCCTTTCATCACAGCCATAATCTAAAATGTCAATTTCTGGCTTCACCTGCGCTGAAGGACTTGTACCTGCCTGAGAAGTTCCAGATACACTATTAATTTTGTATAAACATTGCTTCTGCCCTAAAGACCTTTCCACTCTCTACACGCCCCACGTGTCTCCACACAGCAAAGTTCTTCTCCTTTAACACTCACCCTAACATCACCGCCTCTCAGAGATCTGTGCTGAGGGCTTCACCTTTGCTGCCGTCTCTAGAATAGAAGCACCTTTTAGTTTCAAACTTCACCACTAACAAGCACGGCTCCTGGCACATTGCAAGTGATAAATAAATGCTAGGAATATTCATGGATAGCAGCAATACTTTAGAGTTATAGAACCCTAACAATGTCCACTGTAATCTCACATTATTTCATTTAATCCTCACAAAAATGGGGTTGTTAGAAATACATATTTTATAAAAATCCCCATACAGTTTGAAATTTAAAAATACTCCCAAATAACTTATGAGTCGAGATAAGATTGTTTTAAATGAACAAGTGAAAATTTTATATAACAAAACTTGTGAGATAAAACAAAGGCTGGGGAGAAAGGGATATTTATAGGCATAAATGTTTATATTAGAAAAGAAGGCTACAAATTAATAAGGTAAGTTTCACACTTAAGTTATAAAAAGTAGCAATAGAATAAATTCAAAGAAAATAAAAATGAAGGAAATAATAAGGATACGGATAGAGAATAACTAAATAGAAAATCAAAATGCAATAGAGATGGTTAACAAGTCCAAAGTCAGTTCTCTGCAAAGACCAATGAAATTGTCAAATACCTTATTGTCTTATGAAATTGATAAAGAAAAGAATAGCACAAAGGTTCAACATTAGTAATGAAAAAAGAAACACAACTTTAGCAATAATCAAAATGACAATAAAATAATACTCTGATAATTTATAACAGTAGATTTGAAAACAGAATATATTGACAAATTCCTGGGAAAATATGTTTATAAAACTAACTCAAAAAGTAGAAACTCAAATAGCATATAACAATAGAACAGACTGAAACGGTAGTTCAAAAGTCTGACAAAGGAGCCAACAAGCCTGGATAGTCCATTAGGTAACTAATCCATCCCTGCACTGACACATTATGTACCCCTTAAGGCTTTATAAAGCAGGATATTTCTACTCATCTTATGCTTCTCCAGGAATATCTTGGCTATTTGTGGTCTTTGCTCTGCCATGTAAAATTATGAAACCAGTATGTCAAATTCCATGAAAGCTTTGGCATTTGAATTGAAAACTCCCTGTATCTATAGATAAATTGGAAATTTTACTATATTAAAATTTTCTATCCACAAATATGAAATATCATCTATTTACTTATGTCTCATTGGATATTTTTAAATGGACCTTATAATGTTCTTTGTACACATCTTTTTTAAGCATTAGCAATATTTTACAGTAATAAACCATCCAAAATTCAACACACTGAAGAAAATTCATGCCTTGATGAAATGATTGCAATCTAATTTATTTCAACAAATTTTAAAATTTTATATAGTACTTATCTTTTTTTTTAATATATTTTATTGATTTTTTTACAGAGAGGAAGGGAGAGGAATAGAGAGTTAGAAACATCGATGAGAGAGAAACATCGATCAGCCACCTCCTGCACACCTCCTACTGGGGATGTGCCAGCAACCAAGGTACATGCCCTTGACTGGAATCGAACCTGGGAACCTTCAGTCCGCAGGCTGACGCTCTATCCACTGAGCCAAACCGGTCAGGGCATATAGTACTTATCTTTAAAAATACAAATGGTATCTTTGCTAGGAACTTCATAATGAGCATCCAAGTCTGATGGAAGAGAGGGCCAAGTGCAGAAATCAAATGAAATTCATGTTGGAGGTTCCAGGGGTATCTGCGTCAAAAATACTAGTAATACATAAAAATTAATTACAATCATCTTTTCTCTTTAGATACATTTTTAAACCTAACATAGTCTTCTCTTTATTTCAATCTATGCCAATTCAGAAGTCTGCACTAGACTGTCCTCCGTAAGATCACAGGGTAATAAAATCTGTGGTGGAAAGGTGTTAACAATGCACTAATTATTTAGCATAGTGTCCATTCTAAAAACCTGTAAAATATGTGCATATTATGTGCTCATTTTGAAAAATAAAAAAAGTAGCAGAAAACAATAGACCTATTTATGCTTGAATGTGAATAGAACATCTTTGTAAAGAAACAAAGGAACCCTAACCGGTTTGGCTCAGTGGATGGAGCGTCGGCCTGCGGACTGAAGGGTCCCAGGTTCGATTCCGGTCAAGGGCATGTACCTTGGTCGTAGGCACATCCTCAGTGGGAGGTGTGCAGGAGGCAGCTGGTCGATGTTTCTAACTCTCTATCCCTCCCCCTTCCTCTTTGTAAAAAATCAATAAAAATATTTGAAGAAAAAGAAGAAGCAAAGGAAATTGGTAGCAGTGCCTGCACAGGGGGGGAGGACTGGGGATGGCATAGGTCAGAGATGGGCATTTTCTTTATCTCTGTCTTTGGGTGATGTTTTAATATTGTGCCGTAAGCATGTATCACTTTACCTAAAATTAATGAATTTTTAAAAAAGTATTTGTCTGCAAAGGTAAAGATTTAGTGCTGCTTCTAAGGAGCCACCAGAGCTTTTTGAAGAAATTACATATGATATTTAAATGCAACAATTACTAATTCACTTATTCAACACATTTGTTGAATGTGCCAGGCCTATTGTAGGCTCAGGGGATATAAAAATTTTTTAAAAAAGAACAGATTAAACCAACTATCTCCAGTGACCTTGCATTCTAGTGACCACGAACAGTTTTTGGATGTCTGGAAAAATGATCTGGATGATTTTAAGAAAATGATAAAATGCAACAAAATCGGATATAAGTGATTTTAAAATGTAGTGGAGATATTTTGTTTAACAATCTGTCAGTTTTTCCTTTCTGAGCATTATACATTAAAAAAGATAGGAAAAGATAATTTCCTGGCCTGACCTGTCTTTAAAGAACAGGATTTCTCCCCTCAGCGTGGTGACAGCGTCCAAGGACAAAGTGGGATCACACATGGCCGGTGTCTGAGGACTTGCGGATTCTGTGGGCTTCACAGGGTCATCAGGGGAAGCAGGGGGAGGTCCTACAGAGAACAGAGGTGAGGATGCAAACATTAGGAGGCGTGTGATGCTTCTGTCAGGGCATATACTTCCCAAACACTCCCAAAGGGCTCTGAGCTGACTGCAAATGCTTCCTGCAGCATTTTATTTATTTATTTATTTATTTATTTATTTATTTATTTATTTATGCATTCATTCTTTATTGATTAAGGTATTACATATGTGTCCTCATCCGCCATTGCCCCCCCCCGCCCCAACCCCACTCATGCTCTCACCCCCCTGATGCCTGTGTCCATTGGTTAGAATAATATGCGTACATACAAGTCCTTTGGTTGATCTCTCCCCCTAACTTTTCTGAGGATCATCACGGGGAAGCTAGGATGCCTCATTTCCCCAGCATCACTCACCATACAGGGACTGAATGTCAGTGACATCATCTTGAGAAGGGCAGAACCTGGCCAGGTTTGTGAATGAGTTGTAGACTGGGTACATCAAAGCTTCAGTGTTGGCCGAGTGATAGAGACCTAGGGAATGGTCAAGTTCAGGATCAGCAATGAGGAATAAATTGGTCCCTATTTAGGAAATCATAAATAAGAGTTACTTATGTCTTAAATGCATGTACACGGAAGATGTCAGCTGTGTATTGTATTTGTTTACTTTCAGGAAGCACACAGGGCTTTCCCCCCCTTTGTTTGTTGGTGAATTGGTCAATTGACTGATTACACATTCAATGAAAAGTCAAGTGCTTTTCAAGATGTATTTCTGACATTAATCTTTGAGACAAAGGGTCCAGCCATGTCCAACTTCTCCCCTCTCCAGTGTCAGAAGCGGATTAATTTCATGAATACTGGGTCCCTTTCCTTGTACTCTAGAATAGAATAAACCTATTAGTTGAGTACATCAATAAATATTTTTCTTCATTTGCCAGTGAAAACTTTAACACTGTTTCAAAGAATTAACATTTCTGAGTTACTAAATTAAATGACTCACAGTTTATTTATTTAAATTCTGAAATCCTTAAACAATCTTATTGCTATTACTTGGCATCAGAAGATTGCCTACATAATTTCAGCTTCATGATTATTATTCAGCACATATTGGGTCCAAAAATATTAATAAAAATAGATGTCATAGGAACTTTAGGATAGCTTTTAGACATAACATGCCCAATCACGTTTAGTATTTGTTACTACACTAGCTGTATTCAGACTTTTTTTAATATTATTGAAAAAAATATTGTTGAGATTGGAAGTCATTGGGTAATTATGATTGACATAACAAGTAAAGTCAACAAGTGTTATTTGTATAATTTGTGATTCTAGCGATTTTCTCATTTTCAATTTTGCAGGAAGAAGTTAATTCAATTAAATCAAGAATTTAATCCAGCACTAACCTTACATTTATACTCTCTGTAGAGATATTGTTTGTATTTTGATTATAAATCCCAGTTAAATTTCAGAGATAGTATTTGTTTTAGCTAATTAGTCTAATAATTTAGCTAATTGTTTTAAAATTTTGGAATTCATTACTCAAAGTATACAGTTATAAAATGGGAAACATTCTACCTAAAAAGTTTGGATATTTTATTTGGGGTTAGTCCTGTCCTTCAGAACAAGACCATAAAAACTCTTCAACCTGGAGTGAGTACAATGCTGATTTAACCAGGAAAACCTAAACCGGGACCTCAGTTTCTGGAATTTAATTCTCATTTTGTAACCATGTCAAAATTTCATTTAATATGACTTTTTCTCCTTTCTTTCCCTTTGATTCAAACTGGCCCCATCCAGCACCCTGACTCACCTGCCTCCTTCTGCCACGCATACCCACAGCCTTAATCATTAAGCCCTCAGGACAATGAGGCTCTGATAAGTATCAAATAATCTTAGGGAAAAAGCCCAACCTAGAGACAGAGTTTTAGTCAAACTAGGGGTGCCATCTAGGACTCAGGTGTTTCAGCTCCAGGCCCAGAAAAGAGGGGAAACCATGGCAACACCACGGCCGACATCAGGACCAGATGCACTGATCAACAACCTCTACCCTTGTACAGACCAATGGGTAGAGAGCACGACCTTGACCACAATCCTAATTCCCTTAGTTACTATGATTAGTGATTTTCCCTCTACTTAACCCTCCCCTGAAAGCCATCAGGGAACCAGGTCGTTGAGCTAACCTGTCTCCAGGTGGGGCACACTTCCTAAAATACAGTAAACCAGTGGTCGGCAAACTGCGGCTCGCGAGCCACATGCGGCTCTTTGGCCCCTTGAGTGTGGCTCTTCCCCAAAGTACCACGTGCGGGCGCGCACGAACAGTGCGCTTGAAACTTCATGGCCCATGCGCAGAAGTCGGTTTTCGGAAAGGAGATTGACGAAACAAATATACAAGACGAGTGTGGATGGGAGAGTTGGAAGGGGTCGACCTCAGTGAACGTACCTCAATCAGATTGAGGACGTTTTTAGCAAAGGCCACTTTAGGAGTACCCTAATTAACTTAATAACAATGTACCTACCCATATAGTCTAAGTTTAAAAAATTTGGCTCTCAAAAGAAATTTCAATCGTTGTACTGTTGATATTTGGCTCTGTTGACTAATGAGTTTGCTGACCACTGCAGTAAACCCTTACTTTCTTTGCTACAAGCTCCTTTTTGTGTCTTATTGGACTCTGATGTTGGCAGGCAAACAGCCTCTTTAGTCCAGTAACAACTTCTGTTTTTAAAAGTAAAGAAGTAATTGGGAAAGACTTTGTATGCATATATGCAGAACCCATGGACACAGACAATAGGGTGCTGAAGGCCTGGGGCGGGGAGGGGGGGGCAGGCTGGAGGGGGTCAATGGGGGAATAAAGGGGACTTATGTAATACTTTCAACAATAAAGAATTATTTAAAAAAATAAATGGGATCAAAGTTAAAAAAAAAAAAGGGGAAGTAATTGGGGGACATTTTCCCAATTGGATATAAACAATAGCCAGGACACATGTTCATATAGACTTAATGCAATACACTATCCTTTGGATATCTGCAATTTGATATTATGAGAAGTTATTCTTAATGAAGGTTCTAAGATCAGACAAAACTCACAGTCATCAAAGAAATACTTAATGGCCCATTCTATATTTTGCTTACCAAAACAGAGAGTAAACTTTTAAGACATCTGGAAATGTTTTTGATAATAATTAAAATAAAAACATATTCTGTAGATGCTTGACTCATTGGAAAATCCAGAACATCCCATTTCTGGAATAATCTTAGTTATCGGGACTATTACTATTAAGTTATTAGTTACATTTTCTAAGTATAAAAATAATCAGCACCAAAATTATTCTGAGAGAAGTACAACTAACCTGATGCATCTTTTGTCCATTGTTTGTCATCATCAAAGTGAGCATCTCCATTAATCCCCTGCCCGGGTGGATAGGCATGAGCC